CACACACACACACACACACACACACACACACACACACACACACACACACACACACACAAAATAAAATCTTACACTCTTGTGACTATTCATGTTTTGTCAGTCGCCGTAACTTTAAATTTTTCTCTTTGCCTGTTCAGGAGGATGAAAGGGAGGAGAGCATGGACCTCGGCAGCAGCAGCATCCCTCTCCACCACCCGCTGCTTCCATCTTCCAGCCAGTGCGAGGAAGACCCCCAGGCTATCTTAGACGAGCACCTTTCCCGTGTGCTAAAGACCCCCGGCTGCCAGTCACCAGGCGTGGTTCGGCACTCGCCTCGTTCTCGCTCCCCAGAGCGGACAGGTGCCTTTCTGTCATCCGGGCCCTTTTTCGGTGCTTATCACGGGGCCTCCAAGGTCCTCCTGACGAGCAGGCAGTCCACAAAGCACATCCACCACCACTACATCCACCATCACCACGCTGGGCCGAAGACCAAGGAGCAGATCGAGACGGAYGCGGCTCAGCGTGTGCAGTGCCTCTGCCCTCAAGGGGGCGCCAGTTATTCCAGCTTCACACCTGCGTGAGTACAACCTCCAAGCGGCGCCTCCATGTTTCAAAGCCGCCCCYCCTCCTGTCCTAACCATGTCCGTCCTCTTCCAGCCGCTGCAGCACTTTGTCCAGACGGCCGGCCAAGGCCTGTGATGAGGACACGTCTTCATCGTGCCTTCCCCAGGTTTCCACCGACCGCTCTCAGAATGTTTGGCAGTGGATCTTAGAGAGCGAGAGGCAGGGAAAGCACAAGCCACACAGGCAAGTGGCTATCAGCGAACTCCACAGCGCCGTTTCGTCTCTTACTGTGCTGACCTCTCTTTTGTTTTTATTTTTAAATCTCAACAGCGCTCAAGGCCTAAAGAAGTCCAGCCCGCTTGACTCCAAGATTCTGCCTGCTCGAACCAACACCTCTTGGGGTGGAGGGGGCATCTGCAACGGCACTCACCTTCGTGGCCATCACCCAGGCCACCCTTTCATCCAGGACCCAGCCATGCCACCCTTACCCCCACCCAACACCCTGGCACAGTTGGAGGAGGCCTGTCGAAGACTAGAAGAGGTTTCTAAGCCACCAAAGCCAAAGTAAGAAGCTCAAAGCTTAAAACAAATCTGTGTTTAACTGCAGTGTAAGTGATGTCTCTTCAGATTATTGATGAGTTGTTCCTGTTTTTGTTCAACAGGCACTCGACAGCAGCGAGCAGCCTTCAGAGGGACAGGAGCCATCCAGGTGCTGGAGTCAGCGTTGGCAGCTCTCTGACCACCTCTGATGAGTAAGCATTGTTTTTATTTCATGCTCRGTTGTTTTCCACTTTCATAAATTCAGTTCCTCGCTCAGCTTTCCTCAGATTTGCCTCCCGCTCCAGGCCTTCACCTTTTTTCCTTCCAGATTTCCTCACTTCCTTTTAAAGAGGGGAAAAATGAGTCAGCTTAGTGAAGTCTTGAACTCTCTCTTTTTTAATTAATTTAAATTGAAGCGTGCGCTCGTTCCTAATGTTCACCTCGTCTTTGTTCTAAAGCAAATCACATATGTGTCAAGTAATCATCTGTCATTAGAAATGAGTCACATTAAATGTTTAATACTGTTTGACCTCTTTCTTTTTGACGTGCTCAGAATTGTGTCTCACTGGYCTGTAAATGTTGAAGACTTGTTGGCTTCGTAAGGATTCTCCAAAGTGTCTCAAAACATTCGGTGGTTCTCAGTTTCCTCACAGAGGCTAGTTGTCCTGTCACACGAGTTTTGAACCGTTTCTAAAAATTCCTACAACAAATTTTCTTTCAGTCAGGACAGAGTCGTTGCAGGCGTCTGACTCTTCTCAATTAGGGCTGTGTTTTGGCAAGAATTTGGTGATACAATACAAATTATAACACAGGGGTCACGATACGATATGTCGCGATGTATTATACTTAGGACTGTGCGGTATATGTGGTAGATGGTAGAAACGGTAACGGTTGGCCTATGGTAGAAATTTATACTCTACCGTCCTATCGTCATTACATCATCGCACCTGTGTCAACAGGGCTGTGAGTGCAGAGACACCTGAGCAGGAGTTCGAAATATAATGAAGAAATTCTAGCATTTTAAAACACGTATAGAGAGAATAAATCCTCAAAATATTCTCCTCCCGCTGTAGGAAAAGTTACATTGTGTCACGGGATCTTTTCCTCCCTCCCTCTCGCTGCACGTCACGCAGAGCGAAGCTTTAACAACTGTAGTTTTTCACACCAATTGTCGGAGAAAAAAACTTGTTTTTTATGTATTGTTACCCACAGAGATTATTTTTAAAAAAAGACGTGGAAGTTCGTTCAGTCGTAAATTCATCTTGCTAATGTAAAGTCTGCTCTGATGATGATGATGATGATGATGATGAAGATGAAGATGAAGATGAGCGCGCAGCAGAGCAGCAGCTGATAAATTCAGCAGGGAGAAGCTCATTGTTTGGCAGGCAGATATTAAAGCAAAAACGTTGGGTTTAATTAAGATTACATTTTTCTGCAAAAAAATACTCTAAAAATTACATTATCTTAACTTTTTATGATAATTTTCTACCGCGATATGTACCGTTACCGTGAAGGGGGTTCAATTTATACCGTGATGAATTTGAGGTCATACCGCCCAGCCCTAATTGTAATGTAAGCAAGGTGATATGTGGCCATTTTTATCTCCAAAAATTCTAATTTAAAAAAACTATTTTGTGTGTATCTTATATGTTTCATTTGGTCACTTCAGTACTGTCCCACGGGGACCCCCTTCAGCTCGGGTTGCGGTAAATACCTGCCTGCCTTCAGTAAAATGACGGCTGATTGCAGGATCCAGTCGGGAGAAAGAGCTTCCTGTACGGGGTGCCCGGCTAAAACAGGACAGTTGGCAACTCGAACTCAACTTAGAAGGCAGCYGGTGTCGCTCTAATCCTTTCAGATTTTGCCATTGATACTTCAGTGCTAACGTTTACTCACAGTGCTAATGTTRGAGTTAGCGCTAGCGGAGGAGCCAAATGGCGGGCTGAATGCTGCAAACTAGTGGCCGGAGACTAAACTGCAACACAAAATTAACCTTGAAAGTTTACATTCTGAACATTAATATAAAATAGATACTGGCCTTTAGAGAATCAATACAGTATCAGAAAATGGAATATCGAGAGATTTCAGCATATCGATATTTTCTTCTCACAGCCCAGTGAACTACTTACTTACTTTTCTCTGATCCTCCTTTGCTTCTGTAATTATTCAGATTCTTAAGAATCAGACTCGGATTATTAAACTTTGTTTTTTAATTTAAATCTTCAGGTCTAAGGAGCTGGTGGTCACCTACTTCTTCTGTGGTGAAGAAATCCCTTATCGCAGCATGATGAAGACCCACTGCCTCACCCTGGGTCACTTCAAGGAACAGCTCAGCAAAAAAGGCAACTACCGGTATGTTTGAATTTGGTTTTCTATAAATCTTCCCTCGTTCATATAGAGCTGCTGGGTGACATAATTACACCAGATCAACAAGTGTTTCTAACTGTACATAAGTGTCCTGATGTTTGACTAGAAAAGACGGTGGAGCTGTTGCATTCAGAGCTTATAGAAACGAGGAGAAAGGCGGTTCTGGAGTGAATTTTCTTCCCACATCTGGTACTGATTTCCATGCAAAGGCAGCCCTAATAAATATGGCTTTGAAGCATTGGGCTATTTTATTTTGTGTCCAWAGAGCACTGCGATGCCTTCAAATTCCTTCTCCACACTGTTGCATCAGARGCCTGAGTGGAGCGCTGCGAGCACCTTGTTCTGTTAACAGTCCAGCAGTAATACAGCGAGGGCAAATTCCTCAAATCAACTCACTGGTTCTTAAATACAAGTGCCAAAAAAGCTTTTCTCTTTGGGATAACTTCTCAGTGATGAGTGTGTTGTATGCCGTCAGCTTAATCTTGTCCATGACATCAACATCAGGGCACATCTGCTTGTTGGGCAACACAGAGAAGAAGGCCCACAAACAAACCTCAGCTCCCCCAGCTATCTCATAACTCTTCAGTGAGCTTGTGAGAATGGAGGAGTGGGTGGGGGGTGGGGGTCTGGCTTCAATGGCAGCAGAATGTGTGGAGTTGGTTAATTTGGACATGGCAGCGGTTCAGCAGAAAACAGTACTCCGCAGCTCTGCCAGACTATATTGGTGCCAGATGTTGTGAGGAGAGAAAAATCCTGCAACATGAAACATGTTCCAGTGGAAAGACTCCTTCTGTCGCTCCGTCTCTGCAACAAAGTGATGACTTTGAACTATTTGTGAGGAAAAATGTAGGGTTTTTTTTTTTTCAGAAGAAAATAAAAACAATAAATTAGATTGTTTTATTTAATTTAGTGAGAAATAAAACAAATATAACTAAACTGGTTTGAGTGGCGCTCAGCAGAAAAAGCGTGATTTTTTCCCCGTTCTTCAGCTGCGATGAAGCAAAGCTTCTTGTTCATTTGTCTGATTACAATCAGCAGGGAAAAGAAGGCTGGATGTGTATATTTTTGTACGCCCTTCTGTACATGTGTTGTTTGAATGACTTTAAGCTGAGCTCATAAAACACCCCCCCCCTTTTTTTAAATTCTTTTTATGTTCTAAACACAGGCACACATGGACAAAATGAGGCATTTTTCCATTACAAAGCTTATCATTAAAGCCCCTCCTGCTGGTCCTCGTGCTGCGTTTAAAGCAGGGAGTAGAAATCATTAGGAACTCCAGGAGACTGCGCAGTCACTGGGACCCACTGGGAGTTATCTCTGCTTGGGAGCTAACTAGGGGACCTGTGACCTACAGGAAGCTGAGGACGAYCCTTTTGTTGCACCTTACAGCCGAGTCGTGTTTGTCCTGCATTTTCCTGCTGATTGGAAAGCTGCACYTTTGTGAGGATCTTGGTGATGAGGCAGGCAGGCGGCAGAGCGTGACCTCAGACCGTCAGGCACCTAAAATGTCAACCTGTGTGACATAAAGGCTCCTCGTTTGACAGCTGGACCAATTAGAAACCAGTGGACACAGAAAGGGTGGGAGCACAATGGGGTTCAGGGGGAGAGGTGATTAAACTGTCTCTAATTAACCCTTCGACTTTAATCAGACCTCGAAATTTAGATRATGGATGAACTCTGAAGCAGGAGGGTTTTTTATTAAAACATTGGAATCAATCAGAACAAAGTGACCACACTATTTAAAACAGCCCAAAGTATTATTTGCAGTTTAAWGCCAGAGAGAATAACAGTTTGAAGCTGTCAAACCCACTGAGCTCAGCTCTGTAGGTGCAGCAGGGCCATGTGGAGRCAGGATCTATTTGTTGAAGAGGCGGCATCGAGGTGGCACTGAGGCTTCCTATGTGGACAAGTGAGAATGATGATGAGCTGCACTTCATCTCCTCTAACCACAACCCCCCCTCTCTGTTCTCATGTCTCCTCAGGTACTACTTCAAGAAGGCAAGCGATGAGTTTGAGTGCGGCGCGGTGTTTGAGGAGGTTCTGGAGGACTCCACGGTGTTGCCCATGTACGAGGGCAAGGTCCTGGGCAAGGTGGAGAGGATGGACTAAAGAGCACAAACAACCTGCCCCCCTGCCCCCCACCCAAACTAAAGCTAAACATTTCCTAAAAACTTGAGCGACAGACTGAGAGTAAAAAAAAAACACTCTGGACTCTTTTTTTTAATCTATTTCTTAATATTAAGCTAAACAGAGTTAATATATCCAGCACAAGAGGAGTGATTGAAGGAAGACGAGCCAATGAAGTATGCCGAACTCAGAGGAGGTGCCCCCCTCCCCCCTCCCTGACTCTCTCAACCGATCAGCCTTAGAAACAGGAGGGAACGAAACTTTGAAGACCACCCCGAGAACCMGAGTCCAGGGGGAGGGGAGACCCCCGACTCCGCTTAACGATAACCACTGAAGACTGTTGAGACGAAAGACTGATGGTGCAGCGAGCGAGACAACCCTAACATTACTCCGCCCACTTCGCCTGTACGTGTGCATATACATACATGCATATATGTATATATACATGTATTATATATAGATGCTTTTGTCTTGAGTTGAAAGTTTTTATTTAGTATTTATTGAAACAGAAAAACCCTTTCCTCTCRTTCCTGCACCCTGAGTCTTCTAAAACCTGTGACCCGCCCCCCTCTTCCTGTTTCCAGCCAATGGGCAAGCTGCTTTGAATGTTGGGAGAAAGCTGTGGGGAAAGTTTTTCTGTTGAAACACAAGCCTAACTCCTCCTGTAGCCTTGCTGCCACGGCTGACCCAAACTAATGGTTTTGGTGTGGGTTCTGCCCAAAGCTCTCCATTATTTTAATGGTCAGTCCCAGTTTTATATGCTGCTGGTAGTTTGTTACATTTGTCCCACCAGGATCCCACCACCC